CCTAGCAGGATCCCACAAGTGGAATCTGGGGAGGGTAATGTGTACGCATACCTTACCCCTACCCTAGAGGGTAGAGAGGCAGTTTCCGAAAGACCCTTGGCTCGAGAGCAAGAAACTCTTAATCTTTATCAATGGCAGTTATTCAGCTGTTGCTGCTTATGTTAGTAAGGTATTTGACCGCACATGTTCGTCACATTTTTCTTATTGTGTTTGTGTGGTCATAGGAAAATGTGTTATGGGTTCTGATTGTGCTTCATGGTTGCTGAATTCCAGTTGGTGTCTGCTACTTTATGCCTTGATATCTTATAAATCACCAGCATTCACACTGGAGTTAGAATTCTCGATTAAGCCTGCTAAATTCGGCTTAGATCAACATTTTATATTTTTGAGAGAACTAGCAAAAGGAACCTTGGATTTGTAATCTGAACATGCAGATTTTCTTTGCTTTCACTTCTAGGCCTCTTGTTTCCCCTTCATGTTTTTCGGGGTACTTGGAAATTTGGTAATCGAAAAAGGTCAATGAATTAGTGCCAGACTAAATGTCAAGGAATCAAAGTTTTTCAATCTCTTTATATGATTTTTACTGGTTTCACACAACACTGCAATGTCACTAAAGCCAAATGCTCAAAAAATTTGATTAGACTGGATTTGTCTTGGTGCCGCAACTTGACAAATGAAGCCCTGGATTTGATTACTGATAACTGCTTGTCATTGGAAGTATTGAAATTGTTTGGCTGTACTCAGGTATGCCCTGTTTAGTTTGGTAAATGAGAAACATACTTTGCTCACCGCCCCAAAGTTTGCCTGACCATTAAAGGACAAAGTTAATGTCCTACTTTTTTTCCTGTGCTTAGACTGCCAACAGTGATTGGTTAAATGAAAGGCACCTGCTCGTACCACAGAGTCGAAGACATTGGCTGTCTTTCTCGATTATGTAGAAATATAGGAATTTCTTGTGCTTGTACAATTTGATTTTGTGTTGTGACTTTGAGTTCTTTCCTAAACTTTAGGTTTCATCATCGGTCACTTTATCGAGATCCATTCATCTTAAGGTTTCTCCGAACTGAAGAAAGGGGCACCAAAAATTTGTTTCGTTGCCCCAGATTGACCATAAAATCTGGAGAATAAAATTTAAACTACTGTGGAATATCACAAAATGCCTGTGCTCTCAAGGTTCCTGTTATTTCTTTTGCTACCGTCCTTTTCTATATGTCCTTTAGCCCAGGGTCTATTGGAAATAGACTCTTTATCTTCACAAAGTAGGGATAAGGTCTGCATACACACTACTCTCCCAAACCCCACTTGTGGGATTATACTGGGTTTTTTGGTTGTTGTTGTTGTCATTGTTGTAAAAGTTTCCTAATACAGGTTATTTGTTAAATTCAGTGGGCGTAAATGCAAATAGATATGAAACCATTATTGGTAGTAGGCAGGTATTGTATTTGACTGTTCATCACTTCAGCTGAAATGCATAGGCATAGGAGTGCACCATACTACCTCCTAAATGCTTTTCACTTTGCCTTAATAGTTTCCCTTTGTAGTAAAAGGGCTCTTCTGAGAGCTAAGATTTCCAATTGCAACTCAACTCTTCAACTTCTTAAGAATCTTATCTAAGCATGGCATGTTGTTGGCTCGAATTTTCAGGCAAGCGATAGACAATGGATGCAATTTTTTGACACACTGCTATCTGGTTTAATAATAATACACCCCTTCGTGCATCTGTTGATATAACTGTCTTTTGCATAGAAACATTCATCTACATGCGCTTATTCCAGAATCAGATAGGTTCTTAGCCTATCTTATATTATTTCCAACATTACACATATTGAAAGATGTCACAACCTCACATATATAATTTCCAAGATTACACATATAGGTTCATTATTTCTTTCAATTTCTTCCTTTAAAATTTAAATATAACCGAAGTTATCATAAAACTTTTGGGACTGAAATGAAAAGAATGTGATAAGAGTTTCCTTGTTTAGTTTACAAAAGAAACGGATGATTGAGTAAGAAAGAATTATAAGATAATGCACATGACTTCACACCACAACAAAAAATGATCCATGTTTTTAAGTTTTATCCGACCTTGTCCATATTGTACATATTTTGAAAGCACTGGCAAATTCAAAGTCTGTGTTCTTACAACCATTGCTTCTAAAAGCTATGAAATTAAATCTGTGTTCTCAAAACCATTGTTTTCACTCTCTTCTTCTCACATCTTCTACATATGCTTCAAGGGGCTGTATATTTTCTGCTTCTCCTCTTGTATTACCTAGTTGCAATGTAAGAAAATTGAAGAAGAAGTCCATCATTGAAGACCATTCAAAGCTTTGCTTTTGAAAATGGGTTTTTTTGAGTTTGTTAGTTGTTTGGATTGGATGTTGTTCCAATTGATTGAAAATATCAAAAGGAGTTCAAAATTTAAATTTGAAGTGATTTGAATTAGATTTGAGTTAAATATCAGAAAAGACGCAAGGAAGAAGACGAAGTCAGTTTTTTGTATAATTATGTATAATAGTGTATATGAGTGTATAAACACATCTTATATACATTTATACAAGTGTCTGTAGACGAACTTCTTCCACGATTTTCAGTTGCAATTCTTGTTCAAAACCAGTCCAAATCTCCATTAAATGACTTCAAATTTTATATACAACCTCCTTATACTATTTCTAACAAGTCTAAATAACACTCACTCCAAATTTCTCGCAAAATCAAATTCGGAGTTTAAACCCACATATTTAAGCTTGTTAAAGATCTAATTTTCACCACCCAAATGGATTTGGTTTGTTGAACTAATATTTGAGTCACAGTTACTAATTCGAAAATTAACTTAAAAGCTTGAGAATCATTTTTAAAAATTAAATAATAATTTTGAGAACTTATTGGAGTTGAATATTGAATTTTAGCCTATTATTTTTGGGCTAGTTGGTTGTAAATTGAAATATGGGCTACAAAATTGAAAAGTAGGGAGCCTAGTTGTTCTAATGTGAAATTTTCCCATTGAGTAATTGACGAATTAGAGTACAAGTCCTAGCTACAATGTTCAGTGTGACCTCATTTGCTCCAATCTTGGGTAAGATTTACCAATACATCTACCTGTGGGTTGTAACAAGGTGCAGGTAGAATAATAAGCTGGTTGCACCCAAGCTAGCATGAACACCATCATCAAAAAACAAAAAGAGTGGTTGGGTATTAGGGGGTGGATTGGAGAAATGAAATGATTTCTATTAAGGCACGACCAATATCTAGAGAAAGTTTATGGGAAGAAGAGCAAACTTTCCTCCCGTTGTTAAAAAAGAATGATATTCTTTCCTACTATATTATTTACTTCCTTTAACCAAACAAGAAATAAATTGTTTTCTTTTTTATGCCCTTCAAATCCCCTCCTTTATATTAATTTCTCCATTATATATCTTCCATTCGACTTTCCCTTCTCTTTTTCCCCTATTTCAGGACAAAGCAAAAAGTGTAAGAATGAAGACTTAACACTAAATGGTTAAATGTATACAACAAAGAATTCAAAATTTAACTACTTTGATAAGAAACTTTTGTTCACCAATATCCTTAAAACATGCTGATGCATAACAAGATACCTGTCCCTAGGCAACTGACATATAGTACTTAGAAACTCTTTCACTAGGCGTACGCGTACACAAAACCTGAGAAAAGACCGGAGACGCTAGAAATGAGATATCTACGGCACCTTCTAATGGTCCAAAGGTATGCATCTAGATGACTGGAGGATCATCAGATGACACCCTTCTCAGGTGTGCTGGCTAGCCATATGCCAACATGAAATGCCCCTTTGGGTAGACACCAAAGGCATAAAGGCCAGAAGGAGATAGCCAAAAACTCTGTAAAGAGTGGACTCAAAGGATATGTCGGAGGTTGTTGTTGAGCTCCAACTTCAACAGCAGAAATCACAGCTGTAAGCATCCAGACATGAAAACAACAATAAATTCGCCAAGAAGGATGGAAAATGGAGTACTGCTTAACTTATGCAGCTATCGATAAAACAAGACTACTTAGACTTGAATTACTTTTTGTGAAAAAGTCTAAATTTGCCACTAAGCTATTGACTTATCACTTAACTTTACCTACTTAAAAGTTGGCAACAAAAAAATACTCTCATTGTCACCATTTTGTATCAAATAGCCCTTTTTTCTAACAGAATCATCTTTCGCTTTCATCATCGTCCACGTAGGGTACATGAATGACATGTGTAAAAATGAATGTTCGAGCCACTTCAGCCGAACAAAACAAACCAAATGACCCCTATCTTTGAAAGCATGTTAAATGACACAACTAATGCAAATCAGGTAACTACTCAACTTCTTGTTAAATTTTCTGAAACAACTTCCGGTCACTGACTTTTAAAAAGTTTTAGTGATTGTTTCACATGAAGTCATTTAAGAAGAAGGGTCATCCAAACAAGCCAACTAGGAAATCCTTTAGGGAGAAGCTAAGAGTTTCTTCTACCAATGACCTGTTAGATTTTTCTTTCTTCATTAGTCTTTTCTCTATGGATTTGTCGTGTTTGTTTCTCACCATGAAAGAGATATATCCTTCTTAGCCCTCGTTCCGTCTTAGTTGCTTTGTCAGTCATCCCCTTGTTCACTAAAAGAAAAAACAGGAAAAAAGAAACAAAGAAGATAAGGAAACTCATGAAGCTTTTCTGAAGTTTTAGCTTCAGTTTAACTGCCCTTTTCTTATGCTACCAAATTTGTGGGGCATATAAAACTAGAATCTAGATATAGAATTAAAACGTTATCATATAGTTACAGATTCTCCTCCAATTGGCCATGTTTGACAGCACCACGTAGGATAAAATACAACTGCTAGAACGGTCACAAAATGGAGATGAATTAGCGGACCACTAGGGCAATGCAAAACTAGTAAGTACAAAAGATGGCATCACTTGTTAATAGTGAAGTAGAATTTCTCATTGAATAACAGAATAATTAGGAATCTGATGTACAGTAACAAATTGGATGAATAACAAATTGGATGAAGGATAGTGCTACATATTGTTACACTAGCAAAATTCAAGCTATTATTTTCTTTTGTCAATACCGCTTGTACAATTTTGTTGTTCTCATCTTGCAAATTGGCAGGACATGTAAAAAGGCACCTTAATATCTTCAAGACAAGAAAAAGTTAGTTTGCTTACAGGTAAGGTTGAACCTTCTGCAGCATCTTTTTTCCTAGAAATCAATTATTTGTGTTTGCACTCACTTCTTTGTTTTGGTTACAATTACCAGTTTATTCCAAATTGCAAACAAAGTTATACATAATATTATTGGAATACTGATCTTAATAAGACTGATATCATCCAGCTAGCCGTGAAGATGTCCCTGTGCAATTTGTAACTGTTGATAGTTTTAGAAGATAATAAATACTACCTTTTACAGGTTGGTGTCAGTTCCTCGGAATTGATTTCCATAGCATCTTGAACCCCTTAAACTCATGGAGAAACTGTCTATGGTGAAGAGATGGGAACCATATGATAAAAGAAGTTACTTCCACTCCTTTGGTAGGCTAACTTCTGTCTCTTAGTACATAGCAGTGTCCTACAGAGGCCCACAAGTAGGTAGTATCGGGGTAGGATTCATCTGATCAGAGCCTTCAGGGCATAATATAAGTCAATAAGCAGAAAACAAATATTAAAAGCACTCCTCTAGCTCACCCCATGAACCCCTAGCCAGAATTGAAGTACACAATGCTGCAAGATGTTCAGTTTTCGTGCTCAGCGTCCAGAATGAGAACTTTTCTGCTGGCATTCCAAGTCAAGATGTAGCCAACCTTCTTAAAGACAAGCAACCTTTTTTTAATTTTGGAGAATAATAATGGAAGAACAAGTTTCATATTGGATAAGGGGGCTTGTGCACCAACCTCTTTAAATGTGTCAGCAAACAACAGCTGTCAAAGATGTGAAGGAATTTCATTAACTCCATTTGATCAATTTGAATTTGTGCAAATCAGTTATTTGTCCTTTACTCAGATGGCAAGGAATGATACAGATTTTTGAGGCAGGAGAGTATACATTGTTTTGGAGACAAATGATACTGATGCTAGTACTACTGAATGAATTTCCTCAATTTCATATGATCAATTTGAAGATTTTGGAGAATCATTTATTTGTCCTCGGATGGCCAAAGATGAAAGATTTGATGCAGCAGAGTTTAGGTAGTTTAGGAATCAATACCGAAGCTAATTATTAGAATGTAAAACCTGACTGAATCATCTGTGAAAGAGAACTATGATGTACAATGATGCAGGTTGCTTTCTGAGAATGACACATTCACATGATTTGAAACTGACAGACTAGTGAATAGCCTAGAGTAATCAGCAGGAAAAAGACGCTGAGCTCATCAAGTTGACAAAGGAAAATTGGAATCCAAGTATAAACAGCGATAATTATATTGGTCCTTCTGCCTAGCAAGATATCCGAATGTTTTTACTTCAAACAGAAGCTTTCATCCCCCGCTTCGCCTATCTTCAAAAAGCGATGTCGATAAAACTCTTTAAAAGAGATCCGCTTCTCTGCAGATATAGGAAGATCTATCAAACTTAAATGAAGTAGGAAGGCAATACAAATGATATTGATTACAGGAATCTGCAGACCTGGGTCGATAGACAATAGTCTCGAGCATAAGTCAACAGAATCAGGGTGCAACTGAGGAATAATCAGCTCAGAGAAAGGAAGACACAGAGACGCCTTGATATTCTGTAGTATCTATATTAAAAACATAAATAATTGATAAGTGGACTAACGAACATATGGAGGCCTCTGCACTGAAGAAAATGTTGTTACCTGAACACTAGTCCTACCACGGAAAGGAGGGTAACCATTAAGTAGTTGAAACAGAATTGCACCAAGACTCCACATATCAACCTATTCAGAAGAATACGCATCAGCTTGTCTCATCTGTGTTATATAGTTGTATTAACTAGTTTCTTACCTTCGCATCATATTTTTGAAATTGAAGAATTTCTGGAGCCATGTAAAAAGGGGAACCACAAACGGTTTCTGCAAAGTCGTCCGGATTTAACATTCTGCTCCAAGAATAAAAAGATAAAGAGATAGTTAATGATGCCAAGCATTTTAGCTTCCCTGTTTCCGAACTCCATATCAAGTTCCTTTACCTTGAGAGACCAAAATCAGCAATCTTAAGAATCGAGTCATTCTCCAAGCTAGATAAGAGAATGTTCTGAACCAGAAATGAACTAAAATTAGAACATTTCCAGACACAATAAAAATTAAATAAATGAGATGAACATTATATTTTGAGCATAAGTATTCAAAAGTGAACAAAATTCAATAAGAGAAAAATGACGATAGAAACTTGCAAAAACAAAAAGATTACCAGGTAGGGAGGACTTGTGAGTCATACGGCCTACTTGTAGATTTATTATGCGGTTGTACTAAATTCTGTAGGTTCTATGTTAGTAAACCTTCTTCATTTCTTCTCGTAGATATATATCACCATTTCTACTTCTCCTTTTGACACATTTTTTCCGACTTTATGCATTTTCATGCTTCCCCGTTCCCTTCTTCAACATATCTCAAGAATTAGGCCCCATTATCTCTCAAACTTCATTTCCCCTTTTGAGACCTTTCCCTAGGTTACATGGTTTTTTCCCTTCAATTTAAAAACCTGAAGTACACCTAGCATTTCTAAATTACATGTGCATCATAAACATTCAGCTCAAGGCGATGAAAGGGCTCTGAATATCAGCTCAAGACATTAATAGGAGTTTGAAATGCTAGTTGAAAAAAACACATTTCAGACAAATAATTTAGTGCAAAAAAGTGAAAAAGAAAAGCTAAAACTATTCAGCAATCTGATTCCAGCATGCATTTGGTGGACAGATTAGAAGGAAAGAAACTTTAGATGTTTTGAGGATACAAGTAATTCCATCCAGAGGATAAAATTAAATTGTATATTACTTTTCCTTTTTTGGTGTAGAGAGCTCTGTAAATGATTGTGAATCCATACTTGAAGTCAGAGAAATCACTGTAAGTTTTTTGTAGGGGGATATCAAAAGTTTTGTATCTATTCATCAGCACAATCATTGGAAAATATATATGAAACATGTTACCAGTTTCAAAGACTATTCAGCAACCTAAAAATAAGCTTGGTTCATTTGGAAAAATGATTCAAGCATCAGGTTTCATCCACCTCCACGTGGGACTAGCTAAGCTCTAAGTGATAAGCAAAATTGCATAATGTTATATTGCAATAGCAAATCGAATCAAAGATGTATAAAATGTCTTTGGGTGAAAAACAATCTGAGTATACTTCTAGTCCTAGGTGTTTTAAATTAGTTGATAACACTTCCGGTTTTAGCAGTGTGTATTGAAATGTATTTTGTCTATGAAGACACAAAAGCTTGTACCTCTGGCTTCAAGTCACGATGGATAATTCGGTGTAAGCTTAGTACCTCTAGACCAGCTCCTACAGTATTGCAATCAAAATGGCATTAGTTGTACAAGATTTGTGAAAGGACATCTTGGTATAAGAAAAAAAGCAGAAAAAGGATTCTGAATGAAAATTTACCAATCTGTTTCATAAATTTTATAGCTACACATTCTCGAACTCTTCCATGATTTCGGATATAAGAAGCCAGATCTCCTCCAGCACAAAACTCCAAGACAAGGAAAATACAGTTTTCAGCCTGAGGGACAGATCAGTTGTGTCAAATTAAGAACTGAGGGAGAAGCACATCACTAGATTTTCTGATGGTTATGATTGGATCTTTTGGTCTGAAGCATGAAACTTATACAAAGATTATACTACACCTTCTGCCTAATGAGTATCAAACTTTGCAAGTTAAGCTTTTTAAGGCAAATGGATATAAACAAGCCATGCACTGATGCATGTGAAGAAGAACTTCAAAGCTAAACCCTCCAAAACCCCGGGAATAAATTCTTTAGGGTCACAGCTTTTACTGTATCTAGTGCATAAATTATGAAGCACTACTTCATCTTACGACTAAAAGCTATGACGCTATAATTTACAGCTGAATCACATGCTCAGAGTGGATAATGACGCACAAAAGAAAGTAGAAAAGATAAAAGTTTTTCCTTGGCCAATCACATCTTTGGATATTATGCACCCAATTTAACTTTTCCACTTTCCTATCAACACCTTCCAGACATGGTGCTCTTTGCGAAAGCACCTTCTTTATAAAGGTTTTTAATTTCCAAATTAGAAGAGAGATGGAGAAAGACCACAATTTTTGGTCTGAGTTTATCTCTTTTTTTGCACAAAATTACCCATCCAGGCATCCACTATTGCTCATTAAAAGATCATAAAAGAAACAGAATTCTAAGGGATCCAGTGAAATTTCTCAGTCAAAATTGTTCTTAGCCGTCAACCCCTTGCTACCCAAATATCAATGCTTGAGCTTACTTGCTCAATTTGTCAGAATTCTAAAGTTAAGACAATTGTCCAATTATTATAATTTGTTTTTGGGATAAATGAGAAATCAGTTGTTTCCATCTGGAGCCACCCCTTTACCCTACTCATTTGCAGTTGAACCTATATATATATATATATATATATATATATATATATATATGAACAATTCTATTCACATAAAATGTTACTTCAATCCAATTCCATTAAAATTGTGTAGAAAATCATAAAGTTATTTGGAATACTCAATTATAGATAACAAAAAAAAAAAAAAAAGATAGCACAAACCTGAAAGATATCGAAAAGGCGAATGATGTTAGGGTGATTAACAGAAGACAAGAAGGTGAGTTCACAGTCCAAGCAATTTTTGAGTTGGCGAGTGAGGTTGAGGAGGTTGATTTGCTTCAACGCCACCACTTTTCCGCTTGTACGGTGCTCCGCTTTCCACACCGTCGACGACGAGCCTCCGCCGAGCCTACACGTCAGCGTGTACTCTCCGACCGTCCGGTGATCAGCTTCCATTGTATTCTGTGTGTGTGTGTGTGTGATTTTTAAAAAAAAAGCAAACTCTGTGTGCGTGTATGTGTGTGTTTTTTTTAAAAAAAAAAAAGCAAACTGTGTGTGTGTTTATTCTTTGGCTTTGGGAAATTTTTTAGAAGAGGTGCCGATGCTTTTTGGCCTTTTTTTTTTGTTTTTTTTTGTTTTTTTTTTTGAAATCCACATCAAACAGTTTTCAAAATCATTTAAAGGAAAAATATAGAAATGAAATTCAAGTTTAAAAAGAGTTTATGGAATTGGGATTGAGTTTTGACATAAATTTTTCTTGAAAACAAAAAGTAAAAAATTGTCAGCAAAAATTGATATTTTCCTTGAAATATACCTTTAAACTAGTGTTTTAAAAGGTAGGAGCGAGATCTTTAAAAAATTTAATTTTTAAATTAATAATATAACATTATAATAGGCAAGGATATAAAAAAAATGTAATAAAAGTTCATGAAAACGAGAAAAAATTAAAAACACTCAAAGAAAATAAAATATCTAACATGTTTTGTAAATATAAATAATATAATACTGTTAAAGTTATTATGAAATATAAATCAACTATAATTTTTAAAGATATTATCAAACTACACATTTTTCCTCCCAAAAAATAAATACTCAATAAAATTGTCAATGTTATAACTTAAAATGTTACTCCTTCGTGAATAAATGCAAATTTACTTTTAAATTACAAAACAATAAATATATTGTTATAAAATATAACCCAAAATAACAATATAGAACAAGCAAAACAAACTAAGAGATATAGATAGAAAGAGAGGAAGAGAGATTCTTATTTCTTCTTCAATTGTGTATATTTTCCTATCTATTACAAGGCCTTTATATAGGCATAAAAAGTGAAGAAAATATGTCATGGAATATGTCATTGAACATACAAAATATGTCATTGAATATGTCATTAAGCATTTGAGATGAAGATCATGGAAGAAGAGTAGACATCCACCATAATGTGATATTTATCATAACACTCCCCCTTGGATGTCCAAAGATAATGTGCCTCGTTAAAACCTTATTAGGAAAAAAAACTCTATGAAAAAAAATCCTAGTGAAGGAAAAAGAGCACACATGTTTAGAAATACGCCTTTTGGTTACCTCGTTAAAAACCTTGCAAGGAAAACCCAGTGTGACAAAACCTTGTAAGGGAAAAAGAGTACAACGCGTATTAACTCCCCCTGATGAGAGCATCAACTCACATCCTTGAGTCTTCGCATCCCAATTTTGTACACCAGTTTCTTGAAGGTTGATGTTGGTAGAGATTTGGTGAACAAATCAGCCATATTATCACTTGAACGAATTTGTTGCACATTGATATCACCATTCTTTTGAAGATCATGTATAAAAAATAACTTTGGGGAAATGTGCTTTGTCCTATCTCCTTTTATGAATCATCCCTTCAATTGGGCTATGCATGCTGCATTGTCTTCATACAAAATTGTGGGTAGTTTTTCACACTTCAAACCACATTTGTCTCGGATAAGATGTATTATAGACCTCAACCAAATACATTCTCGACTTGCTTCATGAATAGCAATTATCTCAGCATGATTAGAAGAAGTAGCCATGATTGATTGCTTAGTTGATCGNNCATCGGCATAACCAACAAGATCGGGATTGCAATCATTGCCATAAAATAAGCCCATATCGGTAGTCCCTTTTAGATATCGCAATATGTGTTTGGTCCCATTCCACTGTCTCCTTGTAGGAGCAGAGCTATATCTTGCTAAGACATTAACCGAAAAAGTTATGTCAGGCCTTGTAGTATTAGCAAGATACATTAATGCACCAATTGTACTAAGATATGGTACTTCAGGACCAAGAAGCTCTTCATTCTTTTCTTGAGGTCGAAACGGGTCCTTATTCACAGCAAATGATCGAACAATCATCGGAGTACTTAATGGATGTGCTCCATCCATGTAAAACTGTTTCAATACCTTTTTAATGTAGGCAGATTGATGAAAAAAAATCTCATTTGTCAAATGTTCAATTTGCAAACCGAGACATAATTTTGTCTTTCCGAGATC